GCGGCGAGGATGTCCGCCAGCCCCCGCTCTGAATGGCGCCCACGTTAGTGGTCATCTACTCGATGGACTCGAGCATCATCTTCGCCGCCATGTCCTCCATCGCCGCGTAGTAGGCTGGGCTCTGGGGTGCGGCGCCGTGTGTTTTGGCACGTCGGTCATATCCACCATATATATATATATATATATATATATATATATATGCTTCCAGACACAAACTGTGGACACTAGACTTGAGTGTTAGCTAGATGCTAGATGTGAAGGTTAGCTTTATACTCCTGCGTGTGTATATATATATATATATAGTAGTGGATAGAACTATGTGGCAACCCACACCAGCCAAAACAGTAGATATGTGCCCTGTCGGCAAGTGGACGGGCCGACAGGTCTACTTTTGTTGATGTGTGTTGGCTTTGAAGCGCGCCGACTTCGATGTCGTCGGCGAGGTGGCCCCAGTTGCGCTGCAGGAAGGAGACCGTCGCGGACGAGGCCGCACTTAACGCATGCAGCAGCTCGATCGATCATCATGCAAATAAAATAAAATAAATCGATCGGGTGAAAAGTTAAGCAACTCATGATGATGAAGTGTTATTGGTTCGTGACTGCCATGACGAGGCCATGGAGTAGCATGCGGCGATCGACCTCATCCTTGACGGCCGAGATCAGCTTGGGCTCGCCGTCCGACGTCGCCGGAGCTGACGTTGAACTCGGAAATGGGGTGCACGGGGCCCGACAGGATGGGCGACCTGTCCGCCGTTAGCGATCGCGCAGGTTGTACCGCTTCAAGTCGTCAGACGTCGCCATGGGCACCTTTGGGACGGAAAGTGGCTCGGTCGGAATCGCCGGCGCCGGGCGAGGCCACATTTCGCGCAAGGTACTCGGCGTCGCCGTTGCGCGGGCGAGGATGTCCGCCAGCCCCGCTCTGAATGGCGCCCACGTTAGTGGTCATCTACTCGATGGACTCGAGCATCATCTCCGCCGCCATGTCCTCCATCGCCGCGTAGTAGGCTGGGCTCTGGGGTGCGGCGCCGTGTTCTTTGGCACGTCGTCGTCAGTCATATCCACCATATATATATATATATATATGCTTCCAGACACAAACTGTGGACACTAGACTTGAGTGTTAGCTAGATGCTAGATGTGAAGGTTAGCTTTATACTCCTGCGTGTGTATATTTATATATATATAGTAGTGGATAGAACTATGTGGCAACCCACACCAGCCAAAACAGTAGATATGTGCCCTGTCGGCAAGTGGACGGCCGACAGGTCTACTTTGTTGATGTGCTGGCTTGCGAGCGCGCCAGCTTCGATGTCGTCGGCGAGGTGGCCCCAGTTGCGCTGCAGGAAGGAGACCGTGCGGACGAGGCCGTACCCGAACGCAGGCAGCTCGATCGATCATCATGCAAATAAAATAAAATAAATCGATCGGGTGAAAAGTTAAGCAACTCATGATGATGAAGTGTTACTGGTTCGTGACTGCCATGACGAGGCCATGGAGTAGCATGCGGCAGTCGACCTCATCCTTGACGGCCGAGATCAGCTTGGGCTCGCCGTCTGACGTGCCGGAGCTGACGTTGAACTCGGAAATGGGGTGCACGGGGCCTGACAGGATGGGCGACCTGCCGCCGTTGGCGATGCGCAGGTTGTACTGCTTCAAGTCGTCGTACGTCGCCATGGGCACCTTGGGACGGAAAGTGGCTCGGTCGGAATCGCCGGCGCCGGCGAGGCCACATTTCGCAAGGTACTCGGCGTCGCCGTTGCGGGCGAGGATGTCCGCCAGCCCCCGCTCCTGAATGGCGTCCACGTTAGTGGTCATCTACTCGATGGACTCGAGCATCATCTCCGCCGCCATGTCCTCCATCGCCGGCGAGTAGGCTGGGCTCTGGGGTGCGGCGCCGTGTTCTTTGGCACGTCGTCAGTCATATCCACCATATATATATATATATATATATATATATATATATATATATGCTTCCAGACACAAACTGTGGACACTAGACTTGAGTGTTAGCTAGATGCTAGATGTGAAGGTTAGCTTTATACTCCTGCGTGTGTATATTTATATATATATAGTAGTGGATAGAACTATGTGGCAACCCACACCAGCCAAAACAGTAGATATGTGCCCTGTCGGCAAGTGGACGGCCGACAGGTCTACTTTGTTGATGTGCTGGCTTGCGAGCGCGCCAGCTTCGATGTCGTCGGCGAGGTGGCCCCAGTTGCGCTGCAGGAAGGAGACCGTGCGGACGAGGCCGTACCAGAACGCAGGCAGCTCGATCGATCATCATGCAAATAAAATAAAATAAATCGATCGGGTGAAAAGTTAAGCAACTCATGATGATGAAGTGTTACTGGTTCGTGACTGCCATGACGAGGCCATGGAGTAGCATGCGGCAGTCGACCTCATCCTTGACGGCCGAGATCAGCTTGGGCTCGCCGTCTGACGTGCCGGAGCTGACGTTGAACTCGGAAATGGGGTGCACGGGGCCTGACAGGATGGGCGACCTGTCGCCGTTGGCGATGCGCAGGTTGTACTGCTTCAAGTCGTCGTACGTCGCCATGGGCACCTTGGGACGGAAAGTGGCTCGGTCGGAAGCGCCAGCGCCGGCGAGGCCACATTTCGCAAGGTACTCGGCGTCGCCATTGCGGGCGAGGATGTCCGCCAGCCCCCGCTCCTGAATGGCGTCCACGTTAGTGGTCATCTACTCGATGGACTCGAGCATCATCTCTGCCGCCATGTCCTCCATCGCCGGCGAGTAGGCTGGGCTCTGGGGTGCGGCGCCGTGTTCTTTGGCACGTCGTCAGTCATATCCACCATATATATATATATATATATATGCTTCCAGACACAAACTGTGGACACTAGACTTGAGTGTTAGCTAGATGCTAGATGTGAAGGTTAGCTTTATACTCCTGCGTGTGTATATTTATATATATATAGTAGTGGATAGAACTATGTGGCAACCCACACCAGCCAAAACAGTAGATATGTGCCCTGTCGGTAAGTGGACGGCCGACAGGTCTACTTTTGTTGATGTGCTGGGCTTGAGCGCGCCAGCTTCGATGTCGTCGGGCGAGGTGGCCCCAGTTGCGCTGCAGGAAGGAGACCGCGCGGACGAGGCCGCATACGCAACGCAGAGGCAGCTCGATCGATCATCATGCAAATAAAATAAAATAAATCGATCGGGTGAAAAGTTAAGCAACTCATGATGATGAAGTGTTACAGGTTCGTGACTGCCATGACGAGGCCATGGAGTAGCATGCGGCAGTCGACCCCATCCTTGACGGCCGAGATCAGCTTGGGCTCGCCGTCTGACGTGCCGCAGCTGACGTTGAACTCGGAAATGGGGTGCACGGGGCCTGACAGGATGGGCGACCTGTCGCCGTTGGCGATGCGCAGGTTGTACTGCTTCAAGTCGTCGTACGTCGCCATGGGCACCTTGGGACGGAAAGTGGCTCGGTCGGAAGCGCCAGCGCCGGCGAGGCCACATTTCGCAAGGTACTCGGCGTCGCCATTGCGGGCGAGGATGTCCGCCAGCCCCCGCTCCTGAATGGCGTCCACGTTAGTGGTCATCTACTCGATGGACTCGAGCATCATCTCTGCCGCCATGTCCTCCATCGCCGGCGAGTAGGCTGGGCTCTGGGGTGCGGCGCCGTGTTCTTTGGCATGTCGTCAGTCATATCCACCATATATATATATATATATATATATATATATATATATATATATATATATATATATATATATATATATGCTTCCAGACACAAACTGTGGACACTAGACTTGAGTGTTAGCTAGATGCTAGATGTGAAGGTTAGCTTTATACTCCTGCGTGTGTATATTATATATATATATAGTAGTGGATAGAACTATGTGGCAACCCACACCAGCCAAAACAGTAGATATGTGCCCTGTCGGCGGCAAGTGGACGGCCGACAGGTCTACTTTGTTGATGTGCTGGCTTGCGAGCGTGCCAGCCGATGTCGCCGGCGAGGTGGCCCCAGATTTGCGCTGCAGGAAGGAGACCGCGCGGACCAGGCCGCACCGAACGAGGCAGGCAGCTCGATCGATCATCATGCAAATAAAATAAAATAAATCGATCGGGTGAAAAGTTAAGCAACTCATGATGATGAAGTGTTACTGGTTCGTGACTGCCATGGCGAGGCCATGGAGTAGCATGCGGCGGTCGACCTCATCCTTGACGGCCGAGATCAGCTTGGGCTCGCCGTCCGACGCGTGCCGGAGCTGACGTTGAACTCGGAAATGGGGTGCACGGGCCACGACAGGATGGGCGACCTGTCGCCGTTGGCGATCGCAGGTTGTACCGCTTCAAGTCGTCGACGTCGCCATGGGCACCTTTGGGACGGAAAGTGGCTCGATCGGAAGCGCCCGGCGCCGGGCGAGGCCACATTTCGCAAGGTACTCGGCGTCGCCGTTGCGGCGAGGATGTCCGCCAGCCCCGCTCTGAATGGCGCCCACGTTAGTGGTCATCTACTCGATGGACTCGAGCATCATCTCCGCCGCCATGTCCTCCTCCATCGCCGGCAGTAGGCTGGGCTCTGGGGTGCGGCGCCGTGTTCTTTGGCACGTCGTCAGTCATATCCACCATATATATATATACACGCTTCCAGACACAAACTGTGGACACTAGACTTGCACGTTAGCTAGATGCTAGATGTGAAGGTTAGCTTTATACTCCTGCGTGTGTATATATATATATATAAGTAGTGGATAGAACTACGTGGCAACCCACACCAGCCAAAACAGTAGATATGTGCCCTATTGGCAAGTGGACGGCCGACAGGTCTACTTCGTTGATGTGCTGGCCTGCGAGCGCGCCAGCTTCGATGTCGTCGGCGAGGTGGCCCCAGTTGCGCTGCAGGAAGGAGACCGCGCGGACCAGGCCGTACCCGAACGCAGGCAGCTCGATCGATCATCATGCAAATAAAATAAAATAAATCGACCGGGTGCAAAATTAAGCAACTCATGATGATGAAGTGTTACTGGTTTGTGACTGCCATGACGAGGCCATGGAGTAGCATGCGGCAGTCGACCTCATCCTTGACGGCCGAGATCAGCTTGGGCTCGCCGTCCGACGTGCCGGAGCTGACGTTGAACTCGGAAATGGGGTGCACGGAGCCTGACAGGATGGGCGACCTGTCGCCGTTGGCGATGCGCAGGTTGTACTGCTTCAAGTCGTCGTACGTCGCCATGGGCACCTTGGGACGGAAAGTGGCTCGGTCGGAAGCGCCAGCGCCGGCGAGGCCACATTTCGCAAGGTACTCGGCGTCGCCGTTGCGGGCGAGGATGTCCGCCAGCCCCCGCTCCTGAATGGCGTCCACGTTAGTGGTCATCTACTCGATGGACTCGAGCATCATCTCTGCCGCCATGTCCTCCATCGCCGGCGAGTAGGCTGGGCTCTGGGGTGCGGCGCCGTGTTCTTTGGCACGTCGTCAGTCATATCCACCATATATATATATACACGCTTCCAGACACAAACTGTGGACACTAGACTTGAGCGTTAGCTAGATGCTAGATGTGAAGGTTAGCTTTATACTCCTGCGTGTATGTATATATATATATAGTAGTGGATAGAACTACGTGGCAACCCACACCAGCCAAAACAGTAGATATGTGCCCTGTCGGCAAGTGGACGGCCGACAGGTCTACTTCGTTGATGTGCTGGCCTGCGAGCGCGCCAGCTTCGATGTCGTCGGCGAGGTGGCCCCAGTTGCGCTGCAGGAAGGAGACCGTGCGGACGAGGCCGTACCCGAACGCAGGCAGCTCGATCGATCATCATGCAAATAAAATAAAATAAATCGATCGGGTGCAAAATTAAGCAACTCATGATGATGAAGTGTTACTGGTTCGTGACTGCCATGACGAGGCCATGGAGTAGCATGCGGCAGTCGACCTCATCCTTGACGGCCGAGATCAGCTTGGGCTCGCCGTCCGACGTGCCGGAGCTGACGTTGAACTCGGAAATGGGGTGCACGGAGCCTGACAGGATGGGCGACCTGTCGCCGTTGGCGATGCGCAGGTTGTACTGCTTCAAGTCGTCGTACGTCGCCATGGGCACCTTGGGACGGAAAGTGGCTCGGTCGGAAGTGCCAGCGCCGGCGAGGCCACATTTCGCAAGGTACTCGGCGTCGCCGTTGCGGGCGAGGATGTCCGCCAGCCCCCGCTCCTGAATGGCGTCCACGTTAGTGGTCATCTACTCGATGGACTCGAGCATCATCTCTGCTGCCATGTCCTCCATCGCCGGCGAGTAGGCTGGGCTCTGGGGTGCGGCGCCGTGTTCTTTGGCACGTCGTCAGTCATATCCACCATATATATATATACACGCTTCCAGACACAAACTGTGGACACTAGACTTGAGCGTTAGCTAGATGCTAGATGTGAAGGTTAGCTTTATACTCCTGCATGTATGTATATATATATATAGTAGTGGATAGAACTACGTGGCAACCCAGACCAGCCAAAACAGTAGACATGTGCCCTGTCGGCAAGTGGACGGCCGACTGGTCTACTTCGTTGATGTGCTGGCCTGCGAGCGCGCCAGCTTCGATGTCGTCGGCGAGGTGGCCCCAGTTGCGCTGCAGGAAGGAGACCGTGCGGACCAGGCCGTACCCGAACGCAGGCAGCTCGATCGATCATCATGCAAATAAAATAAAATAAATCGACCGGGTGCAAAATTAAGCAACTCAAGATGATGAAGTGTTACTGGTTCGTGACTGCCATGACGAGGCCATGGAGTAGCATGCGGCAGTCGACCTCATCCTTGACGGCCGAGATCAGCTTGGGCTCGCCGTCCGACATGCCGGAGCTGACGTTGAACTCGGAAATGGGGTGCACGGAGCCTGACAGGATGGGCGACCTGTCGCCGTTGGCGATGCGCAGGTTGTACAGCTTCAAGTCGTCGTACGTCGCCATGGGCACCTTGGGACGGAAAGTGGCTCGGTCGGAAGTGCCGGCGCCGGCGAGGCCACATTTCGCAAGGTACTCGGCGTCGCCGTTGCGGGCGAGGATGTCCGCCAGCCCCCGCTCCTGAACGGCGTCCACGTTAGTGGTCATCTACTCGATGGACTCGAGCATCATCTCTGCCGCCATGTCCTTCATCGCCGGCGAGTAGGCTGGGCTCTGGGGTGCGGCGCCGTGTTCTTTGGCACGTCGTTAGTCATATCCACCATATATATATATATATGCTTCCAGACACAAACTGTGGACACTAGACTTGAGTGTTAGCTAGATGCTAGATGTGAAGGTTAGCTTTATACTCCTGCGTGTGTGTGTATATATATATATAGTAGTGGATAGAACTACGTGGCAACCCACACCAGCCAAAACAGTAGATATGTGCCCTGTTGGCAAGTGGATGGCCGACTGGTCTACTTCGTTGATGTGCTGGCCTGCGAGCGCGCCAGCTTCGATGTCGTCGGTGAGGTGGCCCCAGTGGCGCTGCAGGAAGGAGACCGTGCGGACGAGGCCGTACCCGAACGCAGGCAGCTCGATCGATCATCATGCAAATAAAATAAAATAAATTGATCGGGTGCAAAATTAAGCAACTCATGATGATGAAGTGTTACTGGTTCGTGACTGCCATGACGAGGCCATGGAGTAGCATGCGACAGTCGACCTCATCCTTGACGGCCGAGATCAGCTTGGGCTCGCCGTCTGACGTGCCGGAGCAGACGTTGAACTCGGAAATGGGGTGCACCGAGCCTGACAGGATGGGCGACCTGTCGCCGTTGGCGATGCGCAGGTTGTACTGCTTCAAGTCGTCGTACGTCGCCATGGGCACCTTGGGACGGAAAGTGGCTCGGTCGGAAGCGCCAGCGCCGGCGAGGCCACATTTCGCAAGGTACTCGGCGTCGCCGTTGCGGGCGAGGATGTCCGCCAGCCCCCGCTCCTAAATGGCGTCCACGTTAGTGGTCATCTACTCGATGGTCTCGAGCATCATCTCTGCCGCCATGTCCTCCATCGCCGGCGAGTAGGCTGGGCTCTGGGGTGCGGCGCCGCGTTCTTTGGCACGTCGTCAGTCATATCCACCATATATATATATATATATGCTTCCAGACACAAACTGTGGACACTAGACTTGAGCGTTAGCTAGATGCTAGATGTGAAGGTTAGCTTTATACTCCTGCGTGTGTGTATATATATATATATATAGTAGTGGATAGAACTACGTGGCAACCGACACCAGCCAAAACAGTAGATATGTGCCCGGTCGGCAAGTGGACGGCCGACAGGTCTACTTCGTTGATGTGCTGGCCTGCGAGCGTGCCAGCTTCGATGTCGTCGGCGAGGTGGCCCCAGTTGCGCTACAGGAAGGAGACCGCGCGGACCAGGCCGTACCCGAACACAGGCAGCTCGATCGATCATCATGCAAATAAAATAAAATAAATCGACCGGGTGCAAAATTAAGCAACTCATGATGATGAAGTGTTACTGGTTCGTGACTGCCATGACGAGGCCATGGAGTAGCATGCCGCAGTCGACCTCATCCTTGACCGCCGGGATCAGCTTGGGCTCGCCGTCCGACGTGCCGGAGCTGACGTTGAACTCGGAAATGGGGTGCACGGAGCCTGACAGGATGGGCGACCTGTCGCCGTTGGCGATGCGCAGGTTGTACTGCTTCAAGTCGTCGTACGTCGCCATGGGCACCTTGGGACGGAAAGTGGCTCGGTCGGAATCGCCGGCGCCGGCGAGGCCACATTTCGCAAGGTACTCGGCGTCGCCGTTGCGGGCGAGGATGTCCGCCAGCCCCCGCTCCTGAATGGCGTCCACGTTAGTGGTCATCTACTCGATGGACTCGAGCATCATCTCTGCCGCCATGTCCTCCATCGCCGGCGAGTAGGCTGGGCTCTGGGGTGCGGCGCCGTGTTCTTTGGCACGTCGTCAGTCATATCCACCATATATATATATATATATATGCTTCCAAACACAAACTGTGGACACTAGACTTGAGCGTTAGCTAGATGCTAGATGTGAAGGTTAGCTTTATACTCCTGTGTGTGTGTATATATATATATATAGTAGTGGTTAGAACTACGTATATAAACCCACACCAGCCAAAACAGTAGATATGTGCCCTGTCGGCAAGTGGACGGCCGACAGGTCTCACTTCATTGATGTGCTGGCTGCGCGAGCGCGCCAGCTTTGATGTCGTCGGCGAGGTGGCCCCAGTTGCGCTGCAGGAAGGAGACCGCGCGCGACCAGGCCGCATTCGAACGAACGCAGGCAGCTCGATCGATCATCATGCAAATAAAATAAAATAAATCGACCGGTGCAAAATTAAGCAACTCATGATGATGAAGTGTTACTGGTTCGTGATCGCCATGACGAGGCCATGAGTAGCATGCGGCGGTCGACCTCATCCTTGATGGCCGGGATCAGCTTGGGCTCGCCGTCCGACGCGTGCGGAGCTGACGTTGAACTCGGAAATGGGGTGCACGGAGCTCGACAGGATGGGCGACCTGTCGCCGTTGGTGATCGCGCAGGTTGTACGCTTCAAGTCGTCAGACGTCGCCATGGGCACCTTGGGACGGAAAGTGGCTCGGTCGGAAGCGCCGGCGCCGGCGAGGCCACATTTCGCAAGGTACTCGGCGTCGCCGTTGCGGGCGAGGATGTCCGCCAGCCCCCGCTCTTGAACGGCGTCCACGTTAGTGGTCATCTCCTCGATGGACTCGAGCATCATCTCTGCCGCCATGTCCTCCGTCGCCGACGAGTAGGCTGGGCTCTGGGGTGCGGCGCCGTGTTCTTCAGCACGTCGTCAGTCATATCCACCATATATATATATAGCTTCCAAACACAGACTGTGGACACTAGCTAGAATTTTTTTTGCGAATGACACTAGCTAGACTTGAGCGTTAGCTATATGCCTAGATGTGAAGGTTAGATTTATACTCCTACTATATATATATATATATATATATATAGTAGTTGATAGGACTACGTGGCTGCCGACACCTGCCAAAACAATGGATATGTGCCGTGTCGGTCCGTCCAGTTCGGTGATGTGCTGGCCTACGAGAGCGCCAGCTTTGATATCGTCGGCGAGGTGGCCCCAGTTGCGCTGCGGGAAGGAGACCGCGCAGACCAGGCCATACCCGAACGCAGGCAGCTCGATTGTTCATCATGCAAATAAAATAAAATAAATCGACCGGGTGCAAAATTGAGGAACTCATGATGATGAAGTGTTACTGGTTCATGACTGCCATGACGAGGCCATGGAGTAGCATGCGGCAGTTGACCTCATCCTTGACAGCCGAGATCAGCTTGGGCTCGCCGTCCGACGTGCCGGAGCTGACGTTGAACTCGGAAATGGGGTGCACGGAGCCTGACAGGATGGGCGACCTGTCGCCGTTGGTGATGCGCAGGTTGTACTGCTTCAAGTCGTCGTACGTCGCCATGGGCACCTTGGGACGGAAAGTGGCTCGGTCGGAATCGCCGGCGCCGGCGAGGCCACATTTCGCAAGGTACTCGGCGTCGCCGTTGCGGGCGAGGATGTCCGCCAGCCCCCGCTCCTGAATGGCGTCCACGTTAGTGGTCATCTACTCGATGCTCTCGAGCATCATCTCTGCCGCCATGTCCTCCATCGCGGCAAGTAGGCTGGGCTCTGGGGTGCGCGTCATATATATATATATATATATATATATATATTTTGGCACGTCGTCAGTGGACATATCCATATATATATATATATATATATGCTTCCAAACACAAACTGTGGACACTAGACTTGAGCGTTAGCTAGATGCTAGATGTGAAGGTTAGCTTTATACTCCTGTGTGTGTGTGTATATATATATATATATATAGTAGTGGATAGAACAACGTGGCAACCCACACCAGCCAAAACAGGAGATATGTGCCCTGTCGGCAAGTGGACGGCCGCCAGGTCTACTTCCCTGATGTGCTGGCCTGCGAGCGCGCCAGCTTTGATATCGTCGGCGAGGTGGCCCCAGTTGCGCCGCAGGAAGGAGACCGCGCGGACCAGGCCCGTATACCGAACGCAGGCAGCTCGATCGATCATCATGCAAATAAAATAAAATAAATCGACGGGTGCAAAATTAAGCAACTCATGATGATGAAGTGTTACTGGTTCGTGACTGCCATGACGAGGCCATGGAGTAGCATGCGGCGGTCGACCTCATCCTGACGGCCGGGATCAGCTTGGGCTCGCCGTCCGACGTGCCGGAGCTGACGTTGAACTCGGAAATGGGGTGGCGGAGGATGACAGGATGGGACCTGTCGCCGTTGGCGGCGCGCTGGTTGTACCGCTTCAAGTCGTCAGACGCCGCCATGGGCACCTTGGGACGGAAAGTGGCTCGGTCGGAATCGCCGGCGCCGGCGAGGCCACATTTCGCAAGGTACTCGGCGTCGCCGTTGCGGGCGAGGATGTCCGCCAGCCCCCGCTCCTGAATGGCGTCCACGTTAGTGGTCATCTACTCGATGGACTCGAGCATCATCTCTGCCGCCATGTCCTCCATCGCCGGCGAGTAGGCTGGGCTCTGGGGTGCGGCGCCGTGTTCTTTGGCACGTCGTCAGTCATATCCACATATATATATATATATATATATGCTTCCAAACACAAACTGTGGACACTAGACTTGAGCGTTAGCTAGATGCTAGATGTGAAGGTTAGCTTTATACTCCTGTGTGTGTGTGTATATATATATATATATATATATAGTAGTGGATAGAACAACGTGGCAACCCACACCAGCCAAAACAGGAGATATGTGCCCTGTCGGCAAGTGGACGGCCGCCAGGTCTACTTCCCTGATGTGCTGGCCTGCGAGCGCGCCAGCTTCGATGTCGTCGGCGAGGTGGCCACAGTTGCGCCGCAGGAAGGAGACCGCGCGGACCAGGCCGTACCCGAACGCAGGCAGCTCGATCGATCATCATGCAAATAAAATAAAATAAATCGACCGGGTGCAAAATTAAGCAACTCATGATGATGAAGTGTTACTGGTTCGTGACTGCCATGACGAGGCCATGGAGTAGCATGCGGCAGTCGACCTCATCCTTGACGGCCGGGATCAGCTTGGGCTCGCCGTCCGACGTGCCGGAGCTGACGTTGAACTCGGAAATGGGGTGCACAGAGCCTGACAGGATGGGCGACCTGTCGCCGTTGGCGATGCGCAAGTTGTACTGCTTCAAGTCGTCGTACGTCGCCATGGGCACCTTGGGACGGAAAGTGGCTCGGTCGGAAGCGCCGGCGCCGGCGAGGCCACATTTCGCAAGGTACTCGGCGTCGCCGTTGCGGGCGAGGATGTCCGCCAGCCCCCGCTCCTGAATGGCGTCCACGTTAGTGGTCATCTACTCGATTGACTCGAGCATCATCTCTGCCGCCATGTCCTCCATCGCCGGCAAGTAGGCTGGGCTCTGGGGTGCGGCGCCGTGTTCTTTGGCACGTCGTCAGTCATATCCACCATATATATATATATATATATATATATGCTTCGAGACACAAACTGTGGACACTAGACTTGAGCGTTAGCTAGATGCTAGATGTGAAGGTTAGCTTTATACTCCTGCGTGTGTGTATATATATATATATCAGTAGTGGATAGAACTACGTGGCAACCCACACCAGCCAAAACAGTAGATATGTGCCCTGTCGGCAAGTGGACGGCCGACAGGTCTACTTCATTGATGTGCTGGCCTGCGAGCGCGCCAGCTTCGATGTCGTCGGCGAGGTGGCCCCAGTTGCGCTGCAGGAAGGAGACCGCGCGGACCAGGCCGTACCCGAACGCAGGCAGCTCGATCGATCATCATGCAAATAAAATAAAATAAATCGATCGGGTGCAAAATTAAGCAACTCATGATGATGAAGTGTTACTGGTTCCTGACTGCCATGACGAGGCCATGGAGTAGCATGCGGCAGTCGACCTCATCCTTGACGGCCGAGATCAGCTTGGGCTCGCTGTCCGACGTGCCGGAGCTGACGTTGAACTCGGAAATGGGGTGCACGGAGCCTGACAGGATGGGCGACCTGTCGCCGTTGGTGATGCGCAGGTTGTACTGCTTCAAGTCGTCGTACGTCGCCATGGGCACCTTGGGACGGAAAGTGGCTCGGTCGGAAGCGCCGGCGCCGGCGAGGCCACATTTCGCAAGGTACTCGGCGTCGCCATTGCGGGCGAGGATGTCCGCCAGCCCCCGCTCCTGAACGGCGTCCACGTTAGTGGTCATCTCCTCGATGGACTCGAGCATCATCTCTGCCGCCATGTCCTCCATCGCCGACGAGTAGGCTGGGCTCTGGGGTGCGGCGCCGTGTTCTTCAGCACGTCGTCAGTCATATCCACCATATATATATATATATATAGCTTCCAAACACAGACTGTGGACACTAGCTAGAATTTTTTTTTGCGAATGACACTAGCTAGACTTGAGCGTTAGCTATATGCCTAGATGTGTGAAGGTTAGATTTATACTCCTAATATATATATATATATATAGTAGTAGTTGATAGGACTACGTGGCTGCCGACACCAGCCAAAACAATGGATATGTGCCCTGTCGGGTCTGGAGGGTGGAGGGCCGATAGGTCCAGGTGATGTGCTGGCCTACGAGAGCGCCAGCTTTGATATCGTCGGCGAGGTGGCCCCAGTTGCGCTGCAGGAAGGAGACCGCGCGGACCAGGCCATACCCGAACGCAGGCAGCTCGATTGATCATCATGCAAATAAAATAAAATAAATCGACCGGGTGCAAAATTAAGCAACTCATGATGATGAAGTGTTACTGGTTCGTGACTGCCATGACGAGGCCATGGAGTAGCATGCGGCAGTCGACCTCATCCTTGACGGCCGAGATCAGCTTGGGCTCGCCGTCCGACGTGCCGGAGCTGACGTTGAACTCGGAAATGGGGTGCACGGAGCCTGACAGGATGGGCGACCTGTCGCCGTTGGCGGCGCGCAGGTTGTACTGCTTCAAGTCGTCGTCGACGCCGCCATGGGCACCTTTGGGACGGAAAGTGGCTCGGTCGGAAGCGCCGGCGCCGGGCGAGGCCACATTTCGCAAGGTACTCGGCGTCGCCGTTATGGGGCGAGGATGTCCGCCAGCCCCGCTCCTGAATGGCGCCCACGTTAGTGGTCATCTACTCGATGGACTCGAGCATCATCTCTGCCGCCATGTCCTCCATCGCCGGCAGTAGGCTGGGCTCTGGGGTGCGGCGCCGTGTTCTTGGCACGTCATATCACCATATATATATATATCCACACACATATGTGGACACTATATATACTTCCAGACACAAAGTGTGGACACTAGACTTGAGCGTTAGCTAGATGCTAGATGTGAAGGTTAGCTTTATACTCTGCGTATATATATATATATATATAGTAGTGGATAGAACTACGTGGCAACCCACACCAGCCAAAACAATAGATATGTGCCCTGTCGGCAAGTGGAGGGCCGACAGGTCCACTTCATTGATGTGCTGGGCCGCGAGCGCGCCAGCTTTGATGTCGTCAGTGATGTGGCCCTAGTTGCGCTGCAGGCAGGAGACCGCGCAGATGAGGCCGTAACCGAACGCAGGCGGCTTGATCGATCATCATGCAAATAAAATAAAATAAATCGATCGGGTGCAAAATTAAGCAACTCATGTTGATGAAGTGTTACTGGTTCATGACTGCCATGACGAGGCCGTGGAGTAGCATGCGGCGGTCGACCTCATCCTTCACGGCCGGGATCAGCTTGGGCTCGCCGTCCGACGCGTGCGGAGCTGACGTTGAACTCGGAAATGGGGTGCACGGAGCTCGACAGGATGGGCGACCTGTCGCCGTTGATGGCGCGCAGGTTGTACCGCTTCAAGTCGTCAGACGTCGCCATGGGCACCTTTGGGACGGAAAGTGGCTCGGTCGAAGCGCCGGCGCCGGGCGAGGCCACATTTCGCAAGGTACTCGGCGCGTCGCCGTTGCTTGGGCGAGGATGTCCGCCAGCCCCGCTCCTGAACGGCGCCCACGTTAGTGGTCATCTCCTCGATGGACTCGAGCATCATCTCTGCCGCCATGTCCTCCATCGCGGCAAGTAGGCTGGGCTCTGGGGTGCGGCGCCGTGTTCTTTGGCACGTCGTCAGTCATATCCACCATATATATATATATATATATATATATATACACTAGCTAGACACAAACTGTGGACACTAGCTAGACTTGAGCGTTAGCTAGATGCTAGATGTGAAGGTTAGCTTTATACTCCCTGCTGTATGTATATATATATATATATAGTAGTGGATAGAACTACGTGGCAACCCACACCAGCCAAAACAATAGATATGTGCCCTGTCGGCACTGGACTACGTGGACGGCCGACAGGTCATCTTCATTGATGTGCTGGCTCGCGAGCGCGCCAGCTTCGATGTCGTCGGCGAGGTGGCCCTGCAGTTGCGCTGCAGGAAGGAGACCGCGCGCGGATCAGGCCGTACCGAACGCAGGCAGCTCGATCGATCATCATGCAAATAAAATAAAATAAATCGATCGGGTGCAAAATTAAGCAACTCATGATGATGAAGTGTTACTGGTTCATGACCGCCATGACGAGGCCATGGAGTAGCATGCGGTGGTCGACCTCATCCTTGACGGCCGAGATCAGCTTGGGCTCGCCGTCCGACGTGCCGGAGCTGACGTTGAACTCGGAAATGGGGTGAACGGAGCCTGACAGGATGGGCGACCTGTCGCCGTTGGCGGCGCGCAGGTTACTCGCTTCAAGTCGTCGTCGACGCCGCCATGGGCACCTTGGGACGGAAAGTGGCTCGGTCGGAAGCGCCGGCGCCCGGCGAGGCCACATTTCGCAAGGTACTCGGCGTCGCCGTTTGGGCGAGGATGTCCGCCAGCCCCGCTCCTGAACGGGCGCCCACGTTAGTGGTCATCTCCTCGATGGACTCGAGCATCATCTCTGCCGCCATGTCCTCCATCATCGCCGCGCAGTAGGCTGGGCTCTGGGGTGGCGCCGTGTTCTTTTGGCACGTCGTCATATATATATATATATATATATAGCTCATATCCAAACACATAACTATGGACACTAGCTAGACACAAAGAATGACACTAGCTAGACTTGAGCGTTAGCTAGATGCCTAGATGTGAAGGTTAGCTTTATACTCCTGCATATATATATATATATATATATATATAGTAGTGGATAGAACTACGTGGCAGCCCACACCAGCCAAAACAAGAGATATGTGCCCTGTCGGCGAAGCTGGACGGCCGACAGGTCCAGTTCGTTGATGTGCTGGCCCATGAGCGCGCGCCAGCTTCGATGTCGTCGGCGAGGTGGCCCCAATTGTGCTGCAGGAAGGAGACCGCGAGGACCAGGCCGTACCCGAACGCAGGCAGCTCGATCGATCATCATGCAAATAAAATAAAATAAATCGATCGGGTGCAAAATTAAGCAACTCATGATGATGAAGTGTTACTGGTTCATGACTGCCATGACGAGGCCATGGAGTAGCATGCGGCAGTCGACCTCATCCTTGACGGCCGGGATCAGCTTGGGCTCGCCGTCCGACGTGCCGGAGCTGACGTTGAACTCGGAAATGGGGTGCACGGAGCCTGACAGGATGGGCGACCTGTCGCCGTTGGCGATGCGCAGGTTGTACTGCTTCAAGTCGTCGTACGTCGCCATGGGCACCTTGGGACGGAAAGTGGCTCGGTCGGAAGCGCCGGCGCCGGCGAGGCCACATTTCGCAAGGTACTCGGCGTCGCCGTTGCGGGCGAGGATGTCCGCCAGCCCCCGCTCCTGAACGGCGTCCACGTTAGTGGTCATCTCCTCGATGGACTCGAGCATCATCTCTGCCGCCATGTCCTCCGTCGCCGACGAGTAGGCTGGGCTCTGGGGTGCGGCGCCGTGTTCTTCAGCACGTCGTCAGTATATATATATATGCTTCCAAACACAAACTGTGGACACTAGCTAGAACTTTTTTTTCGAAGGACACTAGCTAGACTTGAGCGTTAGCTAGATGCCTAGATGTGAAGGTTAGCTTTATACTCCTACATATATATATATATATATATATATATATATAGAGTAGTTGATAGGACTACATGGCAGACGACACCAGCCAAAACAATGGATATGTGCCCTGTCGGCAACTGGAGGGCCGCCAGGTCCAGTTCGGTGATGTGCTAGCCTACGAGCGCGCCAGCTTTGATGTCGTCAGTGAGGTGGCCCTAGTTGCGCTGCAGGAAGGAGACCGCGCAGACCAGGCCGTACCCGAACGCAGGCAGCTCGATCGATCATCATGCAAATAAAATAAAATAAATCGACCGGGTGCAAAATTAAGCAACTCATGATGATGAAGTGTTACTGGTTCATGACTGCCATGACGAGGCCATGGAGTAGCATGCGGCGGTCGACCTCATCCTTCACGGCCGGGATTAGCTTGGGCTCGCCGTGCGACGTGTGGGAGCTGACGTTGAACTCGGAAATGGGGTGCACGGAGCCCGACAGGATGGGCGACCTGTCGCCGTTGGCGATGCGCAGGTTGTACGGCTTCAAGTCGTCATACGTCGCCATGGGCACCTTGGGACGGAAAGTGGCTCGGTCGGAAGCGCCGGCGCCGGCGAGGCCACATTTCGCAAGGTACTCGGCGTCGCCGTTGCGGGCGAGGATGTCCGCCAGCCCCGCTCCTGAACGGCGTCCACGTTAGTGGTCATCTCCTCGATGGAATCGAGCATCATCTCTGCCGCCATGTCCTCATCGCCGCAAGTAGGCTGGGCTCTGGGGCGCGGCGCCGTGTTCTTTGGCATATCGTCGTATATATCATATCCAAACATATATATATATACACTAGCTAGATTTTTCGAGAATGACACTGTGGCTAGACTTGAGCGTTAGCTAGATGCCTAGATGTGAAGGTTAGCTTTATACTCCTGCGTGTGTATATATATATATATATATAGTAGTGGATAGAACTACGTGGCAACCCACACCAGCCAAAACAATGGATATGTGCCCTGTCGGCGAAGGACGGGAGGGGTAGGTCCAGTTCGTTGATGTGCTGGCCTGCGAGCGCGCCAGCTTCGATGTCGTCGGCGAGGTGGCCCCAGTTGCGCTGCAGGAAGGAGACCGCGCATGATCAGGCCGCATCCGAACGCAGGAAGCTCGATCGATCATCATGCAAATAAAATAAAATAAATCGATCGGGTGCAAAATTAAGCAACTCATGATGATGAAGTGTTACTGGTTCATGATCGCCATGACGAGGCCTGTGGAGTAGCATGCGCGGTGGTCGACCTCATCCTTCACGGCCGAGATTAGCTTGGGCTCGCCGTCCGGACGCTGACGTTGAACTCGGAAATGGGGTGCACGGAGCCTGACAGGATGGGCGACCTGTCGCCGTTGGCGGCGCGCAGGTTGTACGGCTTCAAGTCGTCAGACGCCGCCATGGGCACCTTTGGGACGGAAAGTGGCTCGGTCGGAAGCGCCGCGCCGGCGAGGCCACATTTCGCAAGGTACTCGGCGTCGCCGTTATGGGCGAGGATGTCCGCCAGCCCCCGCTCCTGAATGGCGCCCACGTTAGTGGTCATCTACTCGATGGACTCGAGCATCATCTCTGCCGCCATGTCCTCCATCGCCGCCAGTAGGCTGGGCTCTGGGGTGCGGCGCCGTGTTCTTTGGCACGTCGCGTCGTCGTATATATATATATATATATCAAACACAATATGTGGACACTATAGATTTTTTCCAAATGACACTAGCTAGACTTGAGCGTTAGCTAGATGCCTAGATGTGAAGGTTAGCTTTATACTCCTGTGTGTGTGTATATATATATATATATAGTAGTGATAGACTACGTGGCAACCCACACCAGCCAAAACAATGGATATGTGCCCTGTCGGCGACTGGAGGGCTGGAGGGCCGCCAGGTCAGTTTCCCTGATGTGCTGGCCTCACGAGCAGCGCCAGCTTCGATGTCGTCGGTGAGGTGGCCCCAGTTGCGCTGCAGGAAGGACACCGCGCAGACGAGGCCGTACCCGAACGCAGGAAGCTCGATCGATCATCATGCAAGTAAAATAAAATAAATCGATCGGGTGCAAAATTAAGCAACTCATGATGATGAAGTGTTACTGGTTCATGACTGCCATGACGAGGCTGTGGAGTAGCATGCGGCGGTCGACCTCATGCTTCACGGCCGAGATTAGCTTGGGCTCGCCGTCCGACGTGCCGGAGCTGACGTTGAACTCGGAGCCTGGCAGGATGGGCGACCTGTCGCCGTTGGCGATGCGCAGGTTGTACTGCTTCAAGTCGTCGTACGTCGCCATGGGCACCTTGGGACGGAAAGTGGCTCGGTCGGAAGCGCCGGCGCCGGCGAGGCCACATTTCGCAAGGTACTCGGCGTCGCCGTTGCGGGCGAGGATGTCCGCCAGCCCCCGCTCCTGAACGGCGTCCACGTTAGTGGTCATCTCCTCGATGGACTCGAGCATCATCTCTGCCGCCATGTCCTCCGTCGCCGGCGAGTAGGCTGGGCTCTGGGGTGCAGCGCCGTGTTCTTCGTCACGTCGTCAGTCATATCCACCATATATATATATACTTTGAAACACAAACTGTGGACACTAGCTAGACTTTTTTTTTGCGAATGACACTAGCTAGACTTGAGCGTTAGCTAGATGCCTAGATGTGAAGGTTAGCTTTATACTTCATATATATATATATATATATATATATATATATATATATATATAGTAGTTGATAGGACTACGTGGCAGCCGACACCAGCCAAAACAATGGATATGTGCCCGTCGGCGACTGGAGGGCTGGAGGGCCGATAGGTCCAGTTCGTTGATGTGCTGGCCTATGAGCGCGCCAGCTTCGATGTCGTCGGTGAGGTGGCCCCAGTTGCGCTGCAAGAAGGACACCGCGCAGACGAGGCCGTACCGAACGCAGGAAGCTCGATCGATCATCATGCAAGTAAAATAAAATAAATCGATCGGGTGCAAAATTAAGCAACTCATGATGATGAAGCGTTACTGGTTCATGACTGCCATGACGAGGCTGTGGAGTAGCATGCGGTGGTCGACCTCATCCTGCACGGCCGGGATTAGCTTGGGCTCGCCGTCCGACGTGCCGGAGCTGACGTTGAACTCGGAAATGGGGTGAACGGAGCCTGACAGGAAGGGCGACCTGTCGCCGTTGGCGATGCGCAGGATGTACGGCTTCAAGTCGTCCTACGTCGCCATGGGCACCTTGGCACGGAAAGTGGCTCGGTCAGAAGCGCCAGCGCCGGCGAGGCCACATTTCGCAAGGTACTCAGCGTCGCCGTTGCAGGCGAGGATGTCCGCCAGCCCCCGCTCCTTAACGGCGTCCACGTTAGTGCTCATCTCCACGATGGACTCGAGCATCATCTCTGCCGCCATGTCCTCCGTCGTCGGCGAGTAGGCTGGGCTCTGGGGTGCGGCGCCGTGTTCTTCGGCACGTCGTCAGTATATATATATATGCTTCCAAACACAAACTGTGGACACTAGCTAGACTTTTTTTTGCGAATGACACTAGCTAGACTTGAGCGTTAGCTAGATGCCTAGATGTGAAGGTTAGCTTTATATTTATATATATATATATATATATATATATATAGTAGTTGATAGGACTACGTGGCAGCCGACACCAGCCAAAACAATGGATATGTGCCCCGTCGGCGACTGGAGGGCTGGAGGGCCGATAGGTCCAGTTCGTTGATGTGCTGGCCTACGAGCGCGCCAGCTTCGATGTCGTCGGTGAGGTGGCCCCAGTTGCGCTGCAGGAAGGACACCGCGCAGACGAGGCCGTACCCGAACGCAGGAAGCTCGATCGATCATCATGCAAGTAAAATAAAATAAATCGATCGGGTGCAAAATTAAGCAACTCATGATGATGAAGTGTTACTGGTTCATGACTGCCATGACGAGGCTGTGGAGTAGCATGCGGCGGTCGACCTCATGCTTCACGGCCGAGATTAGCTTGGGCTCGCCGTCCGACGCGTGCGGAGCTGACGTTGAACTTCGGAAATGGGGTGACGGAGCCTGGCAGGATGGGCGACCTGTCGCCATTGGCGGCGCGCAGGATGTACGGCTTCAAGTCGTCCCGACGTCGCCATGGGCACCTTTGGCACGGAAAGTGGCTCGGTCGGAAGCGCCCGGCGCCGGCGAGGCCACATTTCGCAAGGTACTCGGCGTCGCCGTTATGGCGAGGATGTCCGCCAGCCCCGCTCCTTAACGGCGTCCACGTTAGTGCTCATCTCCGACGATGGACTCGAGCATCATCTCTGCCGCCATGTCCTCCGTCGCCGGGCGTAGTAGGCTGGGCTCTGGGGTGCGGGCGCCGTGTTCTTCGCACGCGTCGTCGTCATATATATATATATATACTTTGAAACACAAACTGTGGACACTAGCTAGACTTTTTTTTTGCGAATGACACTAGCTAGACTTGAGCGTTAGCTAGATGCCTAGATGTGAAGGTTAGCTTTATACTCCTACATATATATATATATATATATATAGTAGTTGATAGGACTACGTGGCAGCCGACACCAGCCAAAACAATGGATATGTGCCGCGTCGGCGACTGGAGGGCTGGAGGGCCGATAGGTCCAGTTCGTTGATGTGCTGGCCTATGAGCGCGCCAGCTTCGATGTCGTCGGTGAGGTGGCCCCAGTTGCGCTGCAAGAAGGACACCGCGCAGACGAGGCCGTACCCGAACGCAGGAAGCTCGATCGATCATCATGCAAGTAAAATAAAATAAATCGATCGGGTGCAAAATTAAGCAACTCATGATGATGAAGTGTTACTGGTTCATGACTGCCATGACTGAGGCTGTGGAGTAGCATGCGGCGGTCGACCTCATCCTGCACGGCCGGGATTAGCTTGGGCTCGCCGTCCGACGTGCCGGAGCTGATGTTGAACTCGGAAATGGGGTGAACGGAGCCTGACAGGAAGGGCGACCTGTCGCCGTTGGCGATGCGCAGGATGTACGGCTTCAAGTCGTCCTACGTCGCCATGGGCACCTTGGCACGGAAAGTGGCTCGGTCAGAAGCGCCGGCGCCGGCGAGGCCACATTTCGTAAGGTACTCGGCGTCGCCGTTGCAGGCGAGGATGTCCGCCAGCCCCCGCTCCTTAACGGCGTCCACGTTAGTGCTCATCTCCTCGATGGACTCGAGCATCATCTCTGCCGCCATGTCCTCATCGTCATGAGTAAGTAGGCTCAAGTCTGGGGTGTGGCGCGTGTTCTTCGACGGTCGCGTCATATTCATAGATATAGATATATATATATATATATATATATATATATATATATATATATATATATATATATATATATATATATATATATACTGTGGACACTAGACTAGACTTTTTTGCGAATGACACTAGCTAGACTTGAGCGTTAGCTAGATGCCTAGATGTGAAGGTTAGCTTTATACTCCTACATATATGTACATATATATATATATATAGTAGCTGATAGGACTACGTGGCAGCCGACACCAGCCAAAACAATGGATATGTGCCCCGTCGGCGACTGGAGGGCTGGAGGGCCGATAGGTCCAGTTCGTTGATGTGCTGGCCTACGAGCCGCCAGCTTCGATGTTATCGGCGAGGTGGCCCCAGTTGCGCTGCAGGAAGGACACCGCGCAGACGAGGCCGCACCGAACGCAGGAAGCTCGATCGATCATCATGCAAGTAAAATAAAATAAATCGATCGGGTGCAAAATTAAGCAACTCGTGATGATGAAGTGTTACTGGTTCATGACGACCGCCATGACGAGGCTGTGGAGTAGCATGCGGTGGTCGACCTCATCCTGCACGGCCGGGATTAGCTTGCTCGCTCGCCGTCCGACGCGTGCCGGAGCTGACGTTGAACTCGGAAATGGGGTGAACGAAGCTCGACAGGATGGGCGACCTGTCGCCGTTGGCGCGCAGATGTACGGCTTCAAGTCGTCCCCACTTCATGGGCACCTCGGCACGGAAAGTGGCTCGATGAGAAGCGCCGCGCCATGAGGCCACATTTCGCAAGGTACCGTGAAGGAAAGTGGGCGCTCGGAAGGAGACCGCGCCGACGCCGGCGCAGCCACATTTCGACTGCGTCGCCATGGGCACCTTGGCACGTCGCCGTTGCAGCGCGCGATATATATAGGCCACATGTCCGCCAGCCCACCGCTAGACTGGCGACGATGTCCACGTCCGCGCGTTAACGGTCCACGTTAGTGCTCATCTCTCGATGGACTCGAGCATCATCTCTGCCGCCCGCCCTCCTCCGTCGCCGGCGAGTAGGCTGGGCTCTGGGGTGCGGCGCCATTGTGTTCTTGGGCACGTATATCCGTCAGTCATATATATATATATATATATATATATATATATATATATATATATATATATATATATATATATATATATATATATATATATATATATAGGAGAGACTATATATAGGAGAGACTATTCAAGAGCTCAGCCATGTAATAAGTTACTATGTAGCCACCTTCATTTACCATAATTTTATATACTAATTTATTTATAATATCAATATATATTTACTATAGTTGGGTTACTATAACACAGCCTGGGATATTTACCATAACGTTATAGTAAACCACTTAGTAAGGAGTTACTATAATCTCATAAATTAACATAGTAATTATCGTAACTCAAAGTGGCTACAATATCGAGTTATTTTGTAGCCACTACAGAGTAGTAGTTCTATATATATATATATATATATATATATATATATATATATATGCTTCCAAACACAAACTGTGGACACTAGCTAGACTTTTTTTGCGAATGACACTAGCTAGACTTGAGGGTTAGCTAGATGCCTAGATGTGAAGGTTAGCTTTATACTCCTACTATATATATATATATATATATATATAGTTGTTGATAGGACTACATGGCAGCCGACACCAGCCAAAACAATGGATATGTGCCCTGTCGGCACTGGAGGCTGGAGGGCCGAGAGGTCCAGTTCGGTGATGTGCTGGCCTCTACAGCGCGCAGCTTCGATGTCGTCGGTGAGGTGGCCCCAGTTGCGCTGCAGAAGGAGACCGCGCGCGGACGAGGCCGCACCAACGCAGGAAGCTCGATCGATCATCATGCAAGTAAAATAAAATAAATCGATCGGGTGCAAAATTAAGCAACGGATGATGATGAAGCGTTACTGGTTCATGACTGCCATGACGAGGCTGTGGAGTAGCATGCGGCGGTCGACCTCATCCTTCACGGCCGGGATTAGCTTGGGCTCGCCATCCGACGTGCCGGAGCTGACGTTGAACTCGGAAATGGGGTGCACGGAGCCTAACAGGACGATCGACCTATCGCCGTTGGCGACGCGCAGGATGTACGGCTTCAAGTCGTCGTAAGTCGCCATGGGCACCTTGGCACGGAAAGTGGCTCGGTCGGAAGCGCCGACGCCGGCGAGGCCACATTTCGCAAGGTACTCAGCGTCTCCGTTGCAGGCGAGGATGTCCGCCAGCCCCCGCTCCTTAACGGCGTCCACGTTAGTGCTCATCTCCACGATGGACTCGAGCATCATCTCTGCCGCCATGTCCTCCATCGTCGGCGAGTAGGCTGGGCTCTGGGGTGCGGCGCCGTGTTCTTCGGCACGTCGTCAGTATATATATATATGCTTCCAAACACAAACTGTGGACACTAGCTAGACTTTTTTTTGCGAATGACACTAGCTAGACTTGAGCGTTAGCTAGATGCCTAGATGTGAAGGTTAGCTTTATATTCCTATATATATATATATATAGTAGTTGATAGGACTACGTGGCAGCCGACACCAGCCAAAACAATGGATATGTGCCCCGTCGGCGACTGGAGGGCTGGAGGGCCGATAGGTCCAGTTCGTTGATGTGCTGGCCTATGAGCGCGCCAGCTTCGATGTCGTCGGTGAGGTGGCCCCAGTTGCGCTGCAGGAAGGACACCGCGCAGACGAGGCCGTACCCGAACGCAGGAAGCTCGATCGATCATCATGCAAGTAAAATAAAATAAATCGATCGGGTGCAAAATTAAGCAACTCATGATGACGAAGTGTTACTGGTTCATGACTGCCATGACGAGGCTGTGGAGTAGCATGCGGCGGTCGACCTCATGCTTCACGGCCGAGATTAGCTTGGGCTCACCGTCCGACGTGCCGGAGCTGACGTTGAACTCGGAGCCTGGCAGGATGGGCGACCTGTCGCCATTGGCGATGCGCAGGATGTACGGCTTCAAGTCGTCCTACGTCGCCATGGGCACCTTGGCACGGAAAGTGGCTCGGTCAGAAGCGCCGGCGCCGGCGAGGCCACATTTCGCAAGGTACTCAGCGTCGCCGTTGCGGGCGAGGATGTCCGCCAGCCCCCGCTCCTTAACGGCGTCCACATTAGTGCTCATCTCGA